TCTTCACGCTTGGAAATTATCTCGGATAAGATGCAAGCCGCCGGTTACTCTAAATCAGCTGCACGAAGAGTGGCTAGCTCATGGAGACCAGCCTCATCTGCCTTATATAATAACAGATGGGACAAGTTCGTCGAATGGAGAAGAGGAAAACAGTTACATGGAGATATAACGATACCTATAGTAGCCGAATTCTTGATCCATCTCAGAAACGACAAGAAATTACGACACGGCACTATCGAAGGATATAGATCAGCCCTGTCATCAGTATTACAACACGATGACCTATCTATAGGTACCCATCCAGTACTAAATCGACTTATGAAGTCTTTTGTCCTGGAAGATATAAAAGTACCACGTACCTTCCCTAAATAGGATCTATCTAAAGTATTGTCGGCATTGATGAAAGCACCATATGAACCCATGAGTACTGTGACATTACTATCAGTCTCCAAGAAAACTGCTTTTCTCCTAGCCATGGCTACGGCGGCTCGCGTGTCAGAACTACACGCTATTGACATCTCCACTGTAACTAATACCCAAGAATGGAAAGCAGTGTCGTTCAGATCACTCCCTGAATTTATTGCCAAAAACCAGTCGTCAACCTTTTGGCCCACTCGGACACAGGCAATACACAATACCAGCCCTAAGTAAAAGTGTGGACTTCCCGGACAGATTGCTTTGCCCCATAAAAGCCTTGAGATATTTTATTACAGCAACTCAACCCCACAGAAGGCAGAGAAAACGTCTATTTATCTCTTGCAAGCCCTCGTCAGAAAAGGACATCACAAAGGGCACTGTAGCGGGATGGCTAAAAACAGTTATCACAGATAGCTATAAAACGGCACAAATCTCCACTCCGATTTGGGGTAGCTGCAGACCTCACGAAATCAGAGCACTGGCAACAAGCCTAGCCACATGGAATACTGCATCCATCGAACAAATCGTGTCCCACAACACATTTTCAAACTTTTACTTACGAGACATACAGACCGATCTAAATGGACTATACACTCTGGGGCCCTTGGTGGCTGCCCAGGTTATAGTCACCAAGTAACCTGTTCCCTCCCTCTTCCAGGAAGGGAAAAAAGAGGGGGGGGGGGTGAAGATTTCAGAAGTACCTCATGAACTCAGGGTCAGTTGTATTTTGTTACTGGATTGCGCTATTGAGTTAGTAAAACAGGGCAAATGACAACACTGAAATCAGAGATCGAAGGATTAAGTGATATACGGTAATCTACATGATAGGACCATCAATGTACTACCACCGGAAGTGATGTCATAGGAGTCATCACACCGGAATAACGTTAAGATACGTTAAATATCACTATCCAAAAAGGGCATAACGGTAAACTACGTCATAAGTGATACGGGAGAATAGTGACACCGGAAGTGACGTCACATATAACATCAACACCGGAAGTGACGTCACAGATGACGTCATCACAGGAAGTGACGTCACTAAATGTCTAAGTATCACAAGGGAATATACATATACCCTTCACATGACGTCTTGAAAATTCTATATGTTTAAGTCTTGTAAGTAGACTATTAGACACATCCGTTTTAAGACCCTTTTTGGCATATAATCCTTGGTTTTACTACTCCACTAGCCAAATATCTATGGGATGCTAGATACCAGAACCCGCCGGTCCCTCTGGTGTATACTGGCACTGATGTGATAGAGGTGAGGTATTCACAAGAATTATCAAACAATAGTTATCATTGTGAATAATTCTAAGAATACCACCTCTATCACATCAGGAATTAATCCCTCCCACCTCCCCAAATATCTGCATCTAGTTGATGAGAGTAATGGGTTGAAAGAAGTGACTAGATTCCCGCCTTGCGCATGCGCAGTGGCGCCTCTGGCAAGGGATAGGGTTTCCCTCACAACTATGGATATGTTGGCAGTGTAGTGGACGTCTGTTGAAAATTTATAAAAATTTATAGTGTGGTTCTCAGCATAAACAGGAATTTATGGCACTGATGTGATAGAGGTATTCTTAGAATTATTCACAATGATAACTATTGTTTGATGTCTGGTGGTTTTTTTATCTCAAATTTCGAATTTGTACTGACGAAGTACTGCGCATAAAATTCAAAGTCACAAATATCTAAAATAAACAGAATACAGTCATGCCCCGCTTATACGGACTTCAAATATCCGGAAACCTCGGTTCCCGGACGATTTTCATTTAAAACGAAATAATTACTATATAAATTTTCGGAACGGGGGGGGGGGGGGCTTATTGGGGGAGGGGCGTTTAATGGGTCGAATACGGTAAGTAATCAATGCATTACCTTAATGCATCTAATTCATAAAACTAAATACACAGACATATCTACAAGATACATAAATATGAACCAAACACAAACTTCAAACCTTATAGAGATCCTGCACACAACAAATATATCGCCCACTGATTTGAATGCAATCCACAGAACCACTGATTTCTTTCAAGTTTAAGTGACCAACTAATTCAGCAAAGTCAGCTAAAAACATAAGAAACCTTTTACTTACATAATACAGAAGCTGGAAGGAAAACAAAGCAAGACACTTGTGCTGTTGGTGACTATATAGGTGAAAGTGGCTATTGTTATGTTAGTAGTTATGTAAGTACTGGAGCTAGTCTAATTGTTGTTTTTATACTGCTCAAGTAAAACAGGCTAAAACAGAAACAAGACAGTTAAAAGACTTTACTAAAATATTTACAAAATAGCAATAAAATCAACTCAGCCACATAACATGCATAAGGACTAGTAGAAATTTGCCATTTTTAAGGGTTTTGCTATATATTATCATTATAAGGACGAGTGGACCAAAAATATTAGTTTCTACCGCTGCAATGGAATCAAGGGTAATTCCTTCCAGTTCTCTGACGAAAAAACTAATGCAGCATGAGGAGAAGGGTGGGTTACGCGATATCAGCGCAGATCAACAGGATCCACATCAGGCTATATTTTAGCCATTGTGGAAGTCCATCTGAATAAAATTGAGAACACACTTATCGATTTTATTATGTTTTTATACACTGACCAGTTTCCAGTTTGTGTTTACATAGAAAAATGTTGCAGGAACGGTAGAAGGATTAATTTAACTTGTCCAAAGTATAACATACACAACTCAGATCCATGAGGTTAGGAATATAACTTTATGGCCCCAGTTTTCTGAATTTATAGGGTGGAAACTCACTACCCCTTTGAGCACTAACTGTGCAAGCACTTACACATATATGTACACTGAAAGACAGCTCAGTATATGCTATGAACTATTTTAGGCCCACCATCTCAGAACATACAGTTATGTCACTCTCAATGTCAACATATTTTATATGTTGGTGTCCTAGTGTAAGGGAAAAGAAGTTTCCAAACATAAAGTTACCATCACTTGACAATGTGACAGTCAGGCTAGTATGTGCTATTTAAATCCTATCAAGGGTGCTACATAATAATGATACTTTCTTCATATCCTTAAAAATGTCACCAATCTGTGTTTGTGTGTCAGTCTTGTATGGTGTTAGTCCACAACTTGTGCTATTTATAGATTCTGTCTTCCTGTATTAATACCTTAGAAATTAGGTTTTGTTGCTTCAGTACTTTCAAGATGCTCCCTAACAACATTTGGATATTTTGCTCAGATTAGTAGTTAGTGTTAATGAGAAACCTTTCTTTGAGTCAGAAAATCATCAGAAAATCATCGGATCTAGGGGTCAAGGGTCACCTCAAGTATTAAGGAGCACTTTTGTCATGTTGGTTTATACTTTTGTCATAATTATGGTGTTAGACAAGTCAGATAACAATACTTTAGGTGCTGTTTCAACTTCATATGTGATACTTGGTATGGGTAAACTATCAGTAATAGATGCCCCGTGAAATAGCAAGGGAAATCCATGTGTACTGTATTGGTTTGTCACCAGATTTTCTTGACATCAAAGGACGATTTCTTTGTCTCCAATGCCTTTACAAAACAAATTGTGTGCTATACTAAAACATCATTTGTAATGACCATAGTAGGCCATGACATCTACATGTTAACCTTACCGTAGATACTTGCATCAAAGTAAGGCTGAAGCAAAATAACGTAACTTCATAATTGAGGTGAGCAACAAAACCTTGTTGCTCTAGTTTTACTTTTAGAACATCATGTTGGAATGATACGTATGTATAGGATAAAACATGCCTCCATGGTTTTGGTTCTAAATGTAAACCCGCCAGCGAGGGAAAAGCCCAAGGGCTGTAGACCCGAAGGCTTTTCCCGCGTCAAGGTTTTACATTTTCAACAAAAACCGAGGAGGCATGTTTTATCCAACTTATGAACCATCTAAATGCCAGAAATACTTGAAAAAATAAGAAAACATTGAGATGTATTAAAGTGAAACAATACAGTGTGTTGCGATTTAAAAGGAATTCGATCAAAGTGTGAGAGAGAAAAAACACGTGCTGCATGGACCAGCTGGAGTCATGACATGTAAAATTGAACAACTTCTCATCACCTGCCCTGGTGTCTCGGTGGGAAAACAGTGTATTACAAAACCTAAGTTTAGAAGATGAGCTAGTTGCTAGGCTTACCCGAGGTTGTCAGCAACAAAGTAATTTAGAGTAACACAGTGAGAGGTTTTAAAGCGGAATATGCTATGAGTTAATCTAAGTTTGTGTCCAAAAGTATTTTTATAGTGTTTGTCTTTGTACAGTATCCCCTGAGAGATAAACACAGATACTTATGATGATTGGTAGCATGACTATGGAATTAATTGATATTTCAGTTGAATCAATATTTTAGCTATGTAAAGCAATCTGACCCAGTGTAGCCAAGACAATAAACTTTGTTCGCTGATCTTGCCACAGTCCAAGGTTTTGTTCTTGGCACCAATCATTCTTACTTCTTTGAATTACGTTTGGAACATTGAAAAAGTTCTGTGAAACCATATTAACGCCCACTTTTTTTGGGGAGGTGCAGGGTAAAAGTAATAAAGTTGTTCGCAATGTGTTGGATGTTTTAGGTGAATACCTTGTCAGCGGAGGTCCAGTCCGAGTTCTTGGAGGTCCTGAATGAGGTCCAGAATAACAGTAGTGTGCGGGGCGTCGTCCTCATATCCAGCAAGCCGGGATGTTTCATTGCAGGCGCAGATATTGGGTAAATATGTTGTAGATTGCATTTGGATGTTCATAGTTCATAGGCAAATGTTGCTGTTAAGGATTCATATTGCACTACAGAAGACTTGTGTATGTCATAGTAGTAGGATGATACACTGATGTAATGGTGGAATGCAATTTTTGCTTCTCCGATACAAGTATCGATCACAGTCACACACTAAGTAAAAAATGTAAAAAATATCGATACTTAGCTTAAATATTTCCTTTAATAATAGTTGCATTATACACTGAGTAGTAGTGAAAATTAGTAGTGAAAATATAAATATTTTCATCCATTGCCCCTTACTCATCAGTGTGCAAGGTATTTGACTTGACCATCCTGTCTATGAACGCGATGGCTTACACACCACAGATCAGTGTTTCTGTGAGCTTTTTTGTCAGCCGGTCATAGTAATGACTGACTAAAACTATATCAGTCTTTATCATTTTCGGGCGCCCCCCCCCCCCCCCCCCCAAGTTACTGTGTAAAAACATACCTTTCGATTAGTTTTCTCTTTTTATTTCTGAACTGTAGATTTGCTGCAGGAAGGTGTTTTTCACCACAATACATTTTCCAAATCAAAAGATTGTTCAATCTACGCTGGCAAAGTTGGTTAGGACTTGCCATATGTATGCGGTTTGGTGGATTGCGTTCGGCTCGTACGCTGCTGATAGGTATCGTCATGGCTACAGCTGCCCAAACAGAAATGTCTGGAAAAATATCCTGATAATCAGCCATGATAACCCGACAATTCTGTTGAAGTGTGTTAGTACCAAGTCCCACAACTGTAGTTTTGTAGCTGGCGAAATCACGGTTGGCCGGTCGCCATCTATTATATATGTGACGTCATTATTTATTGAACCAATCACAGGACTGAAATGGGTAATCAGCTGATTTAGGGAATCCCTGCCATAGTTATTAGATTCTTCGCGTGAATCTGGGATGGGTGAGATGGGTTCAGTACTTTGTCAAGACATGTAAGGATAGACAGACTGTCTTCGGGAAATTTGGCATGCAATGTACTGCACAGTTCATCGATGAAGCCTGCAGGTGAATTTTGAAAAGCCTGCACCAAACGTGCATCTGCATATGTAACTTTCACAACACGAAACACGCCGTTTGTGATGTTGTCAATAAACGATTGCTCATTTTCTCCTGGTGTTTTTAGCAATCTTTACAATGAGTCGCAGGTTGAGTTCAAAATTGGCATTATCATGCCGAGATTCAGATTGTCTTTCTGAAATATTGTGACAAGCTTGTCCATATACAAAACATCTGATAGCATGTAGGTTGTCGCAATAATTGAGTAGGTTTTGATTTTTTACTGGATGTTGACTGCTGCACCATTATTTTGCTCTGCTTCTCCTTCTATTTCCATGACAAGTGCTGGCCAGTTATCTTTCGTCCCCTTAACAGCCCTCCCTATGGGCAGTCAACGCACACTGCAGGGCTGTTTCACACTTGAAAAATCGGAATCAGAAAGATCCTCAGACAGTTCGTAACAGCATGGTGATGTGCCACGCTATCGCGATGCTCTTTCAATGCCAGTTACTTCATATTAATGCAACCTTTTGTAAATCTGGCACAGTGGTGACTTAGCATAGCTCCACTGCCACAGGCTAATTTGCATATCACATCACCAGACATTTCTCTTCTTTGTAAACAAACACACTTTTTCAGAAATCAGGAAAGAAGAGACTAATGCAAGTATTTGGGGGCGCTTTACTTATTGTAGTATTGTACGCTACTACAACTGCGACAGTGAGTTGCATGACTATACATATTTACACATTAAAGTGACTGTATCGCAATAGCTCTCTGTAGGTTTCGATGACAGCACGTGGAGCCCAAAAATATTTTGTCATGCACCTTTCTCAATTTGTTGTAGCATATCTAGATCTATATTATTTTGAAAAAAAATATCTAAAGAACACCAAAGGCTTGCATTAGGCCAGTCTGTTCTGTATTCAGAATAAACGCGTTGTTTACAAACATGCGAAAAGTTCAGTCATGTGATTGTGAAATGCAAATTAGCCAATCATGCCAATGGCAGTGGTGCAATGCGAAGTCATCACTGCGCATGAGCGTGCACGTGGTTCTGAACTCATTACTATAGCTCTATTGTGGTCTAGATACCAAAGATATAAAGATGCAATCTGAATGAATAGAAACGAGTCGAGTCAAGTTTACTTTTAGAAAACTGGGATTTCCTTTCTGTGTGGAAGAGAAACACGGACTGATTTCAAAATTGAGTTAACAAAGTTTTAAAACCACGTTGCAGACAGAAACTCAGTTGAAGTTAAAGTTTTCAAACATTATTTCTACCAGACACAGGGACCGTCACACTAAACATTTACCGGTCTTTGCCATTTTTTACCGGCCAAAATCCAGTAACACTGCAGATAAGAGAAGATGCAAGTATCGTGATACTAATATGATCACACAGTTTGTGTATCTTCCCAGCCCTAGCATATCAGCACCACTAGGGTTTGTGCTCGTTGGCTGTTGTTTCGTCATGTTCTTTAAGTCACATGGTGTTGAGGCTTTTGTGTCCTGGAACCTGTCTACAGACACATATTTTTGTTTTGATTGTTCTCAAGCCCATACCACCAAGAAGGTTTAAACAATAATTTGAGAATTTACTGTAGGTGAGGGCATTTCAACCATAACCTTTAGAATGGACTGAAGTTAATACACTTACATGTGACCGGTGTCAGATCAAGGTTACTGTAAATTGTAAATTCTACAATTGTTGTCTTCAGCATTCTTGTTACATCATCATCACTCATTGTTCTAAATTTCCAGACCATGAGTGATGTCTTCCTGTTGCCCTGTTTCCAGTAATTCCCCTGCTTCTTTGTGTAATTATTGCTATCCCCGTCTTGCAGTGTTGTCTCCAGTAATTCCCCTGCTTCTTTGTGTAATTGTTGGTATCCCCGTCTTGGAGTGTTGTCTCCAGTAATTCCCCTGCTTCTTTGTGTAATTATTGCTATCCCCGTCTTGGAGTGTTGTCTCCAGTAATTCCCCTGCTTCTTTGTGTAATTGTTGGTATCCCCGTCTTGGAGTGTTGTCTCCAGTAATTCCCCTGCTTCTTTGTGTAATTATTGCTATCCACGTCTTGGAGTGTTGTCTCCAGTAATTCCCCTGCTTCTTTGTGTAATTATTGCTATCCCCGTCTTGCAATGTTGTCTCCAGTAATTCCCCTGCTTCTTTGTGTAATTGTTGCTATCCCCGTCTTGCAGTGTTGTCTCCAGTAATTCCCCTGCTTCTTTGTGTAATTGTTGCTATCCCCGTCTTGGAGTGTTGTCTCCAGTAATTCCCCTGCTTCTTTGTGTAATTGTTGCTATCCCCGTCTTGGAGTGTTGTCTCCAGTAATTCCCCTGCTTCTTTGTGTAATTGTTGCTATCCTTGTCTTGGAGTGTTGTCTCAGTGTAGATGTTACTGTTCCAGAATGATTGAGTCCTGCAAGACGGAGGAGGAAGTAATGGGCATATCCCGGGCTGGACAAAAGGCTTTCCAGTCAATGGAGGACAGTCCCAAGCCCATCGTAGCTGCCATCATGGGGTCCTGCCTTGGTGGCGGCCTGGAGGTGGGTGACCAGGGCACACCAGGGACTGGCCCACTTCTTTTGTAGTTATGAATTTGCACCTAAAGTACGAAAATACAATCACTTTCTTTATTCAGTACAGTACGACAATTTACGAAAAATAATCGCAGGGAGTAAATTGTCAAAAACTGGTATGAAGTCTATTTATGGGGTTGCATCTGTCCAATTGAGACACTCCAGTCGTATTTTCGGAAGTGACTGTTTCCAAATAGAAATTATATTATAATATTATCAACTGAGTTTTGGAATCGCATTGCTGTATTGTACTGTAGACAATTCATATTGTCGGGCTTTGATCTTCGACCAGAAGATCGCAACCAAATACTAATTTAAGCTGTGAAAGTTGGCAGCTATGCATTGTGTGATGTTGCGATATGCATCTGGACCTTAACTCTTTCAACACCAGTCAACCAGAAGTGTTTACTGCTGGGACACCGAGTTCCCAGAGACTCTTGGGTGATAGATGAAGCCAACATTTATCAAAGAAAATACCTGCTTGTAAAATATATTTGCTACTACATGTTATACACCATTTGAAAGGTCTGATCCTATGGTTTATAAATATGAAAGTTATATTTTCAAATTATTTAAAATAATGCATTTACAACTTAATTAAATTCGTTGTAAATAAAAAATGTACGCTAACACGTTGTTAACATCCAGATTAAGGACCAAGGAAGAAAAAAAATGACGATTTTCGGCAAATATATGATTTCATAATATCCACGTACCTATTTCTGTTTTATTTTCATTGTTTACGTAATTGGAAAATCATTTTAAAAAGAATTATAAATAGTTTCTGTCATCACCCATTTCCCGATAACAGCGACTGTCCGCTCAGTAAAATGAAGAAATACCCCCGTTTTCTAGGTTTCGTATGAATAACACGTTCGTCGAAGAATGGCATGTGACACATCGCTGGAAAGCTTATTCCTTCATCTACACGCTCGTAGCATCGACTGGTTTTTTTTCGTAGTTATAACAAGCGATTTCATTGGATTAAAATTGGTTTCTAATGACGCTTTCTTGCTGAAATCTGCTACAAGTTTCGTGATTGGTCAATTTTGAGCACGTGACCTAAGGCAGCCAATCAAATTACAGCTGTGATACGAAGCTCGTGTTCGATAAATTACAGAAGTTTGCGAAAGAATTTTGTTAAATCGTGTTATTCTGAACGTTTTGAGCAGGAAATCACGATATATATTAAAAATATGGAACTTCGTGAATGTATCGTGCTAGGTTACGAGCTGTGACAAAGATTTTTCATGCATATATTTTTGCATTAAACATCGTGTCCGAGCCGAGAATTCAAGGCGACGAAAGCCGAGATGTCATTTGACTTACATTACACGCGATCGCACGAAAAGATGGAAATAATAACTTAGATGTAAGTTTGATTACTTTTAGATATATTTTTGTTGATTTTATTTATTACTTTGTATAATATATTTAAAGATTTGTTTAAAACGTCTTTATTTTCCTCTTTGACGTGTTCGATGTGGACCCGTTGTCGAAGTGTGTGTCCGAGAATTTTATTTTCAATAACATCGCGAGAAATAGTGAATAATTTTTTAATTTAACGATAAAAAATGTTAAATTGAAATGGAATATGTATTTCAGACATTGTGAAATGTGATAGATTTAATAAATGAATGACATTACAGGTAGGTCCATAAAAATATATACTATTTTGACGTGACTACGGCTTGGCCGGATAACCGGCCTGCGGTGTCTGGGGACTCGATGCTTCTTGGCCGGATAACCGGCCTACGGTGTTGAAAGAGTTAAAGTGGTGATCTGATACAATGTAGAATACATGAAAACTTGTTATGGGAGTCACCAGAAAAGATTCATTTGGCTTTAGAGCTGTGTTGATACAGCTGCATTCAGTCTATTGCTAATGCTCTGAACTCTACCAGAGGAAGCATGTCTTTTGTTCATCAATGACAGCATGTCTGCCTGAAAGACAGAGGGGAGTACAAGAAGCTGTACCACATAATAACTGTGGACATATAGTTATGACTCTATCATGCCTGTAGAATTCATGTTATGATATAGATCTTGTGATACTTATTACAAATAGTTTTGAAGTTATAAAACACTTACCGTATTCGACGTAATAAGCGCCCAGGGCGCTCTCAAAATTAGAAATAGGGGGCTCTTATTAGAATATTATTTTGGTGAAAAAAAAACATAGATGAAAGATAAATTTCGTGGTTTATGCTGACAGCCTAAGTGTTTATATGCGACAGATATATTTTTCCAGAATTTAATTGCCCATAATTAAGGGTGTATATAACACACGAGTGCGTATTATACGCGAATAAATAAGTCCTTTGTACATTGATCAATCGGAAGGGATGCAAATTGGGCTTCTTCACTAGCCAATATATCAGCAAATATCGCCGTGGGCGCTTACTAGAGCGGGGCGCTTATTACGTCGAATACGGTATGTTTGTCATGATAGACGACTAACTAGGAAATGATTTACAGGCTGCTCACGTGTTTAGGCACCAGTCAGATTTAGGGGTATCCTTACATTGGTTTTGCAATGAAGAAGTGAACATTAAACTTCATTTCCTGTGTAAGTGGAAACTGTTAACACATAGTTTAGTTTATCTTGGATGGAATGAAATGACAAAATGGTTGATCTGTTGCAGGTAGCCCTTGCCTGTCAGTACCGGCTGGCAGTGAAAGATCGCAAGACTGGGCTGGGTGTGCCGGAAGTGATGCTCGGCCTTCTCCCCGGGGCAGGAGGCACCCAGAGACTTCCCCGACTTGTCAGTACATTGTGCTCGTTTTTCTATTTTCATGAAATTTAGACAATTTCAAGACACTAAGCACTAAAAAATACCAAAGTGTTGGTTGTTTGTTTGTTTTGGCCTAATGATCAATTAGTCCATAAGATCACCCTTAATGAACAATTAGTCCATGAGATCACCATCATTCAGGGTTTTGTCCACTAGTCCTTATAATGATAACATATAGCAAAACCCTTAAAATGGGCCAATTTCTACTAGTCCTTATGATACCTTAACTATTGGGCAGTTTGGTAAGGACTACAGGACTAGTGCCAATTTCTAACGCTACATTATTGATAATTTAGTCAATAAGATCACCCTAAATGAACAATTAGTCCATGAGATCACCCTTAATAAACAATTAGTTGATGAGATCACTCTTAATGAACAATTAGTCAATGAGATCACCCTAAATGAACAATTAGTTAATGAGATCACCCTAAATGAACAATTAGTCAATAAGATCACCCTAAATGAACAATTAGTTCATGAGATCACCCTTAATGAACAATTAGTTCATGAGATCACCCTTAATGGACAATTAGTCAATGAAATCACTCTAATGAACAATTAGTTCATGAGATCACCCTTTATGGACAATTTGTCAATGAGATCACCCTTAATGAACAATTAGTTGATGAAATCACCCTTAATGAACAATTAGTCAATGAGATCACCTTTCATGTACAATTACTCCATGAGATCACCCTTAATGAACAATTAGTCAGTGATCACCTTTAATGGACAATTACTTCATGAGATCACTCTTATGGACAATTAGTCAGTGATCACCTTTAATGGACAATTAGTCGATGAGATCACCCTTAATGGAAAATAACTCCATGAGATCACCCTTAATGAACAATTGGTCCGTGAAATCACCCTTTATTATCAATTAGTAGATATAATGCCCTTAAGGTTAACCAAATTCAGTTTTCTGTGGCAGCCTTGAGGCATGTAGATGGAATACTAGTTGCCGTGTTCAATGTGTTATTTCAGATAAGTGTCCCAAATGCCCTTGACATGATGCTGACTGGAAAAACTATTCGTCCAGACAAAGCCAAGAAGATGGGCCTTGTTGATAGCGTGATTGATCCTCTAGGTATGTTTGAGGGACATTCAGTGTGGCTGGACAAACTGGCTGTACCTCAATAGTAATCAGAAGTCCAGATCCCACAATGACATTTGAAAACCGTGGGGGTAGCGATGTGACAGACACCAGCACTAGGGGCCAGCAGCGTGGGGGTAGCAATGTGACAGACACCAGCACTAGGGGCCAGCGATGTGACAGACAGCAGCACTAGGGGCCAGCAGTGTGGGGGTAGCAATGTGACAGACAGCAGCACTAGGGGCCAGCAGCGTGAGGGTAGCGATGTGACAGACACCAGCACTAGGGGCCAGCAACATGGGGGTAGTGATGTGACAGACACCAGCACTAGGGGCCAGCAGCGTGGGGGTAGCGATGTGACAGACACCAGCACTAGGGGCCAGCAGCGTGGGGGTACTGATGTGACCGACACTAGCACTAGGGGCCAGCAGCACTAGGGGCCTGCGATGTGACAGACAGCAGCACTAGGGGCCTGCGATGTGACAGACAGCAGCACTAGGGGCCAGTAGCGTGGGGGTAGCGATGTGACAGACAGCAGCACTAGGGGCCAGCAGCGTGGGGGTAGCGATGTGACAGACAGCAGCACTAGGGGCCAGCAGCGTGGGGGTACTGATGTGACCGACACTAGCACTAGGGGCCAGCAGCACTAGGGGCCAGCAGCGTGGGGGTAGTGATGTGACAGACAGCAGCACTAGGGGCCAGCAGCGTGGGGGTACTGATGTGACCGACACTAGCACTAGGGGCCAGCAGCACTAGGGGCCAGCAGCACTAGGGGCCAGCAGCACTAGGGGCCAGCAGCGTGGGGGTAGCGATGTGACAGACAGCAGCACTAGGGGCCAGTAGCGTGGGGGTAGTGATGTGACAGACAGCAGCACTAGGGGCCAGCAGCGTGGGGGTAGCGATGTGACAGACAGCAGCACTAGGGGCCAGCAGCGTGGGGGTAGCGGTGTGACAGACAGCAGCACTAGGGGCCAGCAGCGTGGGGGTAGCGATGTGACAGACAGCAGCACTAGGGGCCAGCGATGTGACAGACAGCAGCACTAGGGGCCAGCAGCGTGGGGGTAGCGGTGTGACAGACAGCAGCACCAGGGGCCAGCAGCGTGGGGGTAGCGGTGTGACAGACACCAGCACTAGGGGCCAGCGATGTGACAGACAGCAGCACTAGGGGCCAGCAGCGTAGGGGTAGCGATGTGACAGACAGCAGCACTAGGGGCCAGCAGCGTGGGGGTAGCGGTGTGACAGACACCAGCACTAGGGGCCAGCGATGTGACAGACACCAGCACTAGGGGCCAGCAGCGTGGAGGTAGTGATGTGACAGACAGCAGCACTTGGGGCCAGCAGCGTGGGGTACTGATATGACCGACACTAGCACTAGGGGCCAGCAGCACTAGGGGCCAGCGATGTGACAGACAGCAGCACTAGGGGCCAGCGATGTGACAGACAGCAGCACTAGGGGCCAGCAGCGTGGGGGTAGCGATGTGACAGACAGCAGCACTAGGGGCCAGCAGCGTGGGGGTAGCGATGTGACAGACAGCAGCACTAGGGGCCAGCAGCGTGGGGGTAGCGGTGTGACAGACACCAGCACTAGGGGCCAGCGATGTGACAGACACCAGCACTAGGGGCCAGCGGCGTGGAGGTAGTGATGTGACAGACAGCAGCACTAGGGGCCAGCAGCTCGGGGGTAGCGACCCGAGTGTGGTCCTGCCTGCTGCAGCTGTTATTGCTGTTTTGTCTGTCATCAGAAGGGTGCATGTAGCACAGCAAGCCAGCCTGCCATGTTTGTTCCCTTAGGCCTTATATATGTTTTTAGTTTGTTTCTGAGACCTACCAAAAAACCCTGAAATTAGTGAAAAAATAAATAGACTTTTGATACAATTTCTTTTGTCCCATCCTTGTGTTTCAATTGGGTGAAATGAAAAAAACCTCAATACTATTTGTTGATGATGATGAATAATACGTATAAAAATCTTGATTCTATTATTGTTTTATGAAGTTAGTATTTTTCAAGACTATTTTCTGACCCGATTCTGTGAAGGGAGACAAGTGTTTACATTACACCCACATTTCAGATTCATCAATATGATGATGCAGTTCAAGCTGCTGCAAGTGTAACCCCACATTTCAGATTTATCAATATGATGATGCAGTTCAAGCTGCTGCAAGTGTAACCCCACATTTCAGATTTATCAATATGATGATGCAGTTCAAGCTGCTGCAAGTGTAACCCCACATTTCAGATTTATCAATATGATGATGCAGTTCAAGCTGCTGCAAGTGTAACGACATTGAGCCTGTGTTCTGTAGGTCCTGGCCTGGCTCCACCCGAGGAGAGAACTCTTCAGTACTTGGAGGATGTGGCCATTGAAACAGCGAGGTAATGTCCCATTATATCACAGCCGTCCTATTTCAGTTGTGTGTCTGTCTGTGTCTGTGTCTGTGTCTGTGTCTGTGTCTGCCTAGTGCTTAAAGCATTATTTTGCACATCATGGGTACAGTGTGAGAATCCATTTCTACACACTTGGTATTGCTGGAAAACTGTTGAAATACGCCTTGCTCGAAGGGGTGAAAAAGGCTTTGGCAGAACTCCTGTTGAAGAACTTGTAGGGAGTTGAGTTATGAATGCTTTAGGCAGACTTAATTATCATGCTCTTTCCCATCTTGGTGGGGATACGTTTATCTTCAATTAATTTGGGGGGCGGTCGGGTCAGCCGAGTGGTTAAAGCATTAGCTCATCATGCCGAAGACCCGGGTTCGATTCCCGACATGGGTACAATGTGTGAAGCCCATTTCTGGTGTCCCCCGCCGTGATATTGCTGGAATATTGCTAAAAGCGGCGTAAAACCATACTCACTTCACTTCAATTAATTTGGCCAAACTTGTAAATTTTGAAAAACACTTAAATTTTACAATGTGTGATTGTATCACAATGTATGTTTTCAGTTCAGGGATTGCAGAGGTTTGGGAGTATAAGACAAACATGCTTCAATGCAACCTATATTTTTTACTTATCCTGCATTTCTCGTTATTGCATATGACTACTTTTCCTTGACTGAGAAAAGAGCTGTGTGAAGGTCTTTGCTTGAAGACGTTGTTCCAACTCGCTGAGAGGCAAACCCTGTCACACAGCTCCCATGTGACCAAAGGAAGTGACGTCAGGGATCCTCACATTACTCTTGTCACTTGCTGAGTGAAGACCTGTTTTTCATCTGTAGCATAAACTTGTTCAAACCCTCATGTGTTTGCTCCTTGAGTTAATGTTTATTGTCTTTGTGTTGTGCATACGGTTTGTATCTTGTGCATTCTATGCTTGATAACATGAGCATACCATTGTTTGACACCTGCTGGTATTTTCTTTAAAGAAAACAATGAATAATCCCAGGTGTCTTGTTTCAAGTAGCCATCTTGAATATTTTACGTGGCCAGCGAGTTATGAACTGGCTTACGTTTTTGCTTGGTTCCTCACCATTGTCGTACCCTTGCAAGTATTTTGTCTTCGTTTTGTATGTTGTCTTATGTTTGTCGTAATAATTGTTTCATAAACCAACACAGTGGGATAAACAAATTATAGCATACATAATCAGGCAGGGACGCAATGTGATTTTACACTGCTTCATTGCAGATATCATGCCCTCCTGCTCAAAGTGCCGACGTAGTATGTCGGGTTGGGATCCCCATCCCCTGTGCCTTAATTGTACATCTCAATGCCCCCAGGGTTCTCGATGTAAAGTCTCCTGTACCTCCGTGTGTCGAGAAAACGGAGATCACAACAGGCCAGGAAACACAGGCGCAAGATGTCTGACTTTTCCGAGAATTTGCCCATTACTATATAGGCTATCTCGGACAACAACTCCCCGGCCTCCACAATTACCATGATGTCGGGCCCCACAGTCTCGGTCTCTTCTCAGAGCACCCTGACGACCCCTACTACATCTATCTTTACGGCGGCAGCCACCATAATGATGCCTAGCGTGGAGCTCTCCTACCAAACAGCGCCTATACAGTCCACCGGACAGACGCACGGCTTCCAATCGGCGCCCCCGCCTATGGCACAGATGCCCGTGATAGACGCCTTTCTCCTCCAGTACATCCAGTACTTACAGGCCATGCAGACGCTATTGCCCCAGCACCTATACAGACGCCTCTACAAGAGCCACCCATAGCACCTATCCATCAAACAGAGCCGTTACAGACGCCAACGCCCTTGCAAGAGCCTTGTTGGACGCTTATCCTGACGTCATCTCTGTCATCGGACATTGATGTCCCATCTATTTAAATGAGGCGACTACCCGTCCACACTCTCCAGGTCACGGACCACACTCATGCTTTAGATGAGAATCTGCACGGCATGATTTCGTCCAACCGCTCCACCTCAGTACGAGTTTCTCACAATAAACACCTACGTGGAGACTGAGATTCGCCACACTCTCAAGCCACTGTCACTTGTAGCATTGTCCTCCAGAGCCATAGACCACCTTACTACAGTCGTATTCTACCTCCAACAACAAGTCAAGCATATGCACGCCGGCTTGACTCAAGAGTTCAAGAGAGATCTCCTTCGTCAACCGTGGTCCACCCCTGACCTATTTAACGGACAGATTTCCAAGACTCACTCCCAAGTCTCACCCTTTGCCTGAGATGAGATTGCTCTCAAGGCCCTGGCTAGGGTGTCACAGCCAGCCTCCTTTAAGGAGTCCCAGTCTGGCTCCTACCAGCCACGATGTAACACCCTCCAGCCCCGGGGGCGGGGCTCCACCTCAGCCTCTCAGGGCTGAGGTAAAGGCAACTCCTCGGGCTCATACCAGTTCCGGCGCGGCCACTCCAAGGGAGGAAGCGCCGACCGCAGGGACTTCAAGTGAACCACCAGACCAGACATCCAAATTGTCAACACTCCAGTAGGTGGAAGACTGGGTTGATTCTGGCAGAATTGGGAGATCCTGGGGGACCCATATGTCACCAACATCATCTGACATGGGTACAAGCTGGTGCCTCTCACGCCGTCCCCTATAGTGGAGACCTACCCCTCTACTCAACAGCAGCTACTAAGCCAGAACATCTCGGCGCTGCAGGACAAGAAAGTGATAGAGGTTACGCACGCTCGGCCCGGCTAGGTCGCCCCCCACAGAGTGGAAGCTCCAACCAGATGCCTTCGCTCTTTCTTATCGAGACCACAGTCTCCCCAACAAAGACCTATTCGCCACCAGCCAGAACTACCAGATAGCGACCTACATATCACCAGTTCCGGATTATGCCCTGGAAGGGCTTGGTTTGTCGACCTCAGAGAGCTAGCCGAATCCAGCCCACTGCCGCTCCCAGATTGGCCAAACCTGCTGATCCACCCTCACAGCAGACAGCCAAACCCTGGACCAGACAAGTTATGTCTTCACGTCTGGTCCTTTTACAGAGAGCACTTAATGGCAAAGGTTACTCAGCCAGAGCAGCAAAGACCATCACCATGGCGCATTGGCCAACCACCAGGAGCCTCTATGACGACAAGTGACAATCCTTCGAGAGCTTTTGCAGGGGTAAAGAACAAGACCCCACTACTGCATCACCTCAATTCCTGGCTGTGTTCATGCTCTATCTTTGCCACAAGCGTAGACACATGGGTAGTACCATAACAATCTACCTTGTGGCACCCAACTCCATCCTGGCAGTTCGGAAAATCGGCGTGTGACGAAAATCCTGGAACTACAGGCTCTGCTCCGCTCACTCAGGTCAGAACACCAGGAGGCTTGGAACTTGAACGTCATTCTCACCTTGCTGAGAGACACACCCTTACAGCCACTTGACACGTCACGCGCGTCCGCCTTGCGCTTGGAGTGCATGGAACCGTCCATCTTGGACTGCTGGGACTTCATGGCCAAAAACCAGCTCCCAGGACAGCCCAATAGATTGTTCCTCATCCCTCCCCTATCCTCGATTGCGTGGAAGACGAACAAGAGCTCCGTCAGTGTCCGGTTAGAGCGCTCCGTTGCTACATCAGTCGTTTCAAGGAACGCCGTAGACAACAACGATGCCTCTTCATATCGGTATCTGCGATCTCGCGAGCGGAAGTCAATCGCTTCATGACCGCCCTCTGGCTACGAGCCATCTTTCTCCAGGCCTACGAGGCCATGTGACAGGATTGACAGCTAGTTGGAACAACTACTTCAAGCAAAGACCTTCACACAGCTCTTTTCTCTGTCAAGAACAAGCAGTAATATGCATTAAGGAGTAATGCAGGATAAGTATACAAATATAAAAAATATCTAGGATTTTACTAGTTTTTATAAATGCAACCTAATATTCATGTTTACTTGTATCTTTGAACACTCTCAATACCTGTATACCTTGACAACGGTATAAGGATCTATACCGAAACGTCGCTTTTCACAGTATTAAAGAAGTTGTTATCCATAAAATTGTGTCTATCTTGTCACCTGTAACCTTTATTTACCACACTACATCACAAATCGCTGTGTTATGTGTAATTCATGTCACAGTAATCAGACATCGGGGATTCTACTATTTTAGACTAGTTTGTACATCTATGTTTCAACTTTGATGAATTTATGGGACGAGGGTTCAATCTGGTCTGTTGCAACTAGATTTTCATGTCCAACATGCACCTGGTGCAAGTTAAATCAAGTACCTTAAATCGGGCCCTGTAAGTTGAACATGAAGTTTTCACTGTTGTAAACAATGTAACCTTACATCTTCAAGACTTGTTGGACACATCTAAGATCTAAGTCAAACACTGTTCTGTTTGAATAGGGGTCTAGCAAATGGGACACTCAAGAAGACACCTAGGAAAAAAGGTTTACCAGACAGTAAGTATTTAGTGAATTACCCTCAAGCTACATCTGTCCCAGGTGAATGAAGGGTGTAAGCCTCCATCCATGGTGTTACATAGACCGGTATTTGCCAGTACATGACCTGACCAGCAAGTGTAAGACCGGTATTTGCCAGTACAAGACCTCCTGACCAGCAGGTGTAGGCCTCCATCCATGGTGTTACATAGGCCGGTATTTGCCAGTACAAGACCTCCTGACCAGCAGGTGTAGGCCTCCATCCATGGTGTTATACACGCCGGTATTTGCCAGTACAAGACCTCCTGACCAGCAGGTGTAGGCCTCCATCCATGGTGTTATACACGCCGGTATTTGCCAGTACAAGACCTCCTGACCAGCAGGTGTAGGCCTCCATCCATGGTGTTATACACGCCGGTATTTGCCAGTACAAGACCTCCTGACCAGCAGGTGTAGGCCTCCATCCATGGTGTTATACACGCCGGTATTTGCCAGTACAAGACCTCCTGACCAGCAGGTGTAGGCCTCCATCCATGGTGTTATACACGCCGGTATTTGCCAGTACAAGACCTACTGACCGACAGGCGTAGGCCTCCATCCATGGTGTTACATAGGCCGGTATTTACCAGTACAAGACCTCCTGACCAGCAGGTGTAGGCCTCCATCCATGGTGTTACATAGGCTGGTATTTGCCAGTACAAGACCTCCTGACCAGCAGGTGTAGGCCTCCATCCATGGTGTTATACACGCCGGTATTTGCCAGTACAAGACCTCCTGACCAGCAGGCGTAGGCCTCCATCCATGGTGTTACATAGGCTGGTATTTGCCAGTACAAGACCTCCTGACCAGCAGGTGTAGGCCTCCATCCATGGTGTTACATAGGCTGGTATTTGCCAGTACAAGACCTCCTGACCAGCAGGTGTAGGCCTCCATCCATGGTGTTACATAGGCTGGTATTTGCCAGTACAAGACCTCCTGACCGGCAGGCGTAGGCCTCCATCCATGGTGTTACATAGGCTGGTATTTGCCAGTACAAGACCTCCTGACCAGCAGGTGTAGGCCTCCATCCATGGTGTTACATAGGCCGGTATTTGCCAGTACAAGACCTCCTGACCGGCAGGCGTAGGCCTCCATCCATGGTGTTACATAGGCTGGTATTTGCCAGTAAATGTCTTTAAACTGTGAACCAGGAACACATATTCAATCAGACTAATCTGACTTAGATGTGTTCTGTTCATTTTCTCCCACACAGAAATCATGGACACCCTACTGCAGTATGACTTTGGCAAGAACTTTGTTTTCAAGAAAGCGCGAGGACAGGTGATGAAATTGTCACAGGGGCTTTATCCAGCACCACTTAAGATATTGGAGGTAAGAACTGCATCACTAGCTGTAACTTTGGAAATAAACCAGTGTTCTCTCTCTTTCTCTCTCATTATTGCAACTATCTATAGTCTGTGGTATGAAGCTTTTTACTTTTTGTACATGTAGAATTGTAATTTTTTGTGTTGTCTCCAGGTGGTGAGGACAGGTCTGGACGAAGGGAAGGAAGCAGGTTACAATGCGGAGGCAAAGGTAGGTCAGTTCCCCTTGAGTATGTCCTCAGTGCCAGCACCTGTGTCTCTTCTCTTCACCACAGTCCCGGACAAGCCAAATAGCGACTCGTGCCCATCTCGTGGCCATTTTTGCGACAGGATTCTGTCTTAGCGCAAACGGGCGTACCTAAAACAGTTGTCAACTCGTTGCATAATGGTTCACATATATTTCCCATGTATTACATATGTTTCAGATGCAATTTAAAGCACATCGGGATATGCGGAATTATACAGTATGATTCAACACATTTAATTGTGTCTTGGGTATATTTTTAGGTGCAAGACGTATGTAAAACTAAAATTATTTCTGAGGGATTCTTTGACGAAGCACTTGAAATCATACGCGCATTCTGATTGGTTTGTCGTATTTTCGCCCATAACATTCATCGATAGGGGGACGAGTCTTCTTGCAGGTTACGGAAAGGGGCGAGTGGTGACGAATGCACCACAGTGGCACACATGTGAGGATTGTTGTAGGAAACACCTGAAAGAATTTCAATTTTTTGGTCTCAGTTCCTGGTGGTGTCGGCATTCCCATCCTATTCCGAGGCATGACTTGACAACCATTCAATGTTTTTCTACAAAACTTGGCATGTGCATAACTGGTGCATGATTGGTGCCTTTTGCTATTTCAAAATGTTTCAAAATTATATTTTTTATGTTTCCCTTGAACATTTTGACTTAATCTCAAACAAGAGTAGGGTTAGTTTCAGACCATAACCATTCAACATATTTCAACGAAACTTAAAATGTACATTTCTCATCAGTTTAACTGGTGCCTTTTTATTTTGAAATCTTTCTTACTTTTATTCTGTTCATTTACATGGAAACAATTTGGTCTCAAACCACTCAAGGTTTCCTTTCCATATTTTTCAATTTTATTTTTTGTTGTTGCTTGTTTCTCGCCAAATCTCTACAGCTAAATAATGTATCTGCATGAAACAATTATCTTTCCAGTAAATTTGCTAGTATTGTTTATTGGATTTGCAAACACATTTACAGTAGCAACTGTAACTAATGTATAAAAAAATAGGAAGGGGGAGACATGATTTGAGAATGCATTCTAGTTGTTCATGTGCCACTTTTGTTCTGGAGAAAAAGCAAGTAATCAGGAAGTGTTTTATTTGCAGGGATTTGCTCAGCTGGGCATTACACCTCAGTCTAAGGGCCTGATAGGGCTCTACTACGGACAGACAGCTTGCAAGAAGAATGCATTCGGAGAGCCTAAGAAGGAAGTAAAGTAGGTTTGAGGTTATATATTAGCTTTGACTGTGGGATATATGTTTGGATAGGAGAGCCTTTTCCAACCTGTAGTGAGGTCTGTCTGCCTTGGTCCGCCTGTAGTGAGGTATGTCTACCTTGTTCCACCTGTAGTGTGATCTGTCTGCCTTGGTCCACCTGTAGTGACATCTGTCTGTCTTGTTCCACCTGTAGTGACATCTGTCTGACTTGTTCCACCTGTAGTGACATCTGTCTGCCTTGGTCCACCTGTAGTGACATCTGTCTGCCTTGGTCCACCTGTAGTGACATCTGTCTGCCTTGTTCCACCTGTAGTGACATCTGTCTGCCTTGGTCCACCTGTAGTGACATCTGTCTGTCTTGGTCCACCTGTAGTGACATCTGTCTGTCTTGTTCCACCTGTAGTGACATCTGTCTGCCTTGTTCCACCTGTAGTGACATCTGTCTGCCTTGGTCCACCTGTAGTGACATCTGTCTGCCTTGTTCCACCTGTAGTGACATCTGTTGGCCTTGTTCCACCTGTAGTGAGGTCTGTCAGCCTTGTTCCACCTGTAGTGACATCTGTCTGTCTTGTTCCACCTGTAGTGACATCTGTTGGCCTTGTTCCACCTGTAGTGAGGTCTGTCAGCCTTGGTCCACCTGTAGTGAGTTCTGACTGCCTTGGTCCACCTGTAGTGACATCTGTCTGCCTTGTTCCACCTGTAGTGACATCTGTCTGCCTTGGTCCACCTGTAGTGACATCTGTCTGCCTTGTTCCACCTGTAGTGACATCTGTCTGCCTTGTTCCACCTGTAGTGACATCTGTCTGCCTTGGTCCACCTGTAGTGACATCTGTCTGTCTTGGTCCACCTGTAGTGACATCTGTCTGTCTTGTTCCACCTGTAGTGACATCTGTCTGCCTTGTTCCACCTGTAGTGACATCTGTCTGCCTTGGTCCACCTGTAGTGACATCTGTCTGCCTTGTTCCACCTGTAGTGACATCTGTCTGCCTTGTTCCACCTGTAGTGACATCTGTCTGTCTTGGTCCACCTGTAATGAGGTCTGTCTGCCTTGGTCCACCTGTAGTGAGGTCTGTCTGTCTTGTTCCACATGTAGTGAGGTCTGTCTGCCTTGGTCCACCTGAAGTGACATCTGTCTGTCTGCCTTGGTCCACCTGAAGTGACATCTGTCTGTCTGCCTTGGTCCACCTGTAGTGAGGTCTGTCAGCCTTGGTCCACCTGTAGTGAGGTCTGGCTACCTTGGTCCACCTGTAGTGACATCTGTTGGCCTTGTTCCACCTGTAGTGACATCTGTCTGCCTTGTTCCACCTGTAGTGACATCTGTTGGCCTTGGTCCACCTGTAATGAGGTCTGTCTGCCTTGGTCCACCTGTAGTGAGGTCTGTCTGTCTTGTTCCACATGTAGTGAGGTCTGTCTGCCTTGGTCCACCTGAAGTGACATCTGTCTGTCTGCCTTGGTCCACCTGAAGTGACATCTGTCTGTCTGCCTTGGTCCATCTGTAGTGAGGTCTGTCAGCCTTGGTCCACCTGTAGTGAGGTCTGGCTACCATGGTCCACCTGTAGTGACATCTGTTGGCCTTGGTCCACCTGTAATGAGGTCCGTGTTCCTTGGTCCACCTGTAATGAGTTCTGACTGCCTTGGTCCACCTGTAGTGAGTTCTGACTGCCTTGGTCCACCTGTAGTGAGGTCCGTGTTCCTTGGTCCATCTGTAGTGAGGTCTGTCAGCCTTGGTCCACCTGTAGTGAGGTCTGGCTACCTTGGTCCACCTGTAGTGACATCTGTTGGCCTTGGTCCACCTGTAATGAGGTCCGTGTTCCTTGGTCCACCTGTAATGAGTTCTGACTGCCTTGGTCCACCTGTAGTGAGTTCTGACTGCCTTGGTCCACCTGTAGTGAGGTCCGTGTTCCTTGGTCCATCTGTAGTGAGGTCTGTCAGCCTTGGTCCACATGTAGTGAGGTCTGTCTGCCTTGGTCCACCTGAAGTGACATCTGTCTGTCTGCCTTGGTCCACCTGAAGTGACATCTGTCTGTCTGCCTTGGTCCACCTGTAGTGAGGTCTGTCAGCCTTGGTCCACCTGTAGTGACATCTGTCTGCCTTGTTCCACCTGTAGTGACATCTGTTGGCCTTGGTCCACCTGTAATGAGGTCTGTCTGCCTTGGTCCACCTGAAGTGACATCTGTCTGTCTGCCTTGGTCCACCTGAAGTGACATCTGTCTGTCTGCCTTGGTCCACCTGTAGTGAGGTCTGTCAGCCTTGGTCCACCTGTAGTGAGGTCTGTCAGCCTTGGTCCACCTGTAGTGAGGTCTGTCAGCCTTGTTCCACCTGTAGTGACATCTGTCTGTCTTGTTCCACCTGTAGTGACATCTGTTGGCCTTGTTCCACCTGTAGTGAGGTCTGTCAGCCTTGGTCCACCTGTAGTGAGTTCTGACTGCCTTGGTCCACCTGTAGTGAGGTCCGTGTTCCTTGGTCCATCTGTAGTGAGGTCTGTCAGCCTTGGTCCACATGTAGTGAGGTCTGTCTGCCTTGGTCCACCTGAAGTGACATCTGTCTGTCTGCCTTGGTCCACCTGAAGTGACATCTGTCTGTCTGCCTTGGTCCACCTGTAGTGAGGTCTGTCAGCCTTGGTCCACCTGTAGTGACATCTGTCTGCCTTGTTCCACCTGTAGTGACATCTGTTGGCCTTGGTCCACCTGTAATGAGGTCTGTCTGCCTTGGTCCACCTGAAGTGACATCTGTCTGTCTGCCTTGGTCCACCTGAAGTGACATCTGTCTGTCTGCCTTGGTCCACCTGTAGTGAGGTCTGTCAGCCTTGGTCCACCTGTAGTGAGGTCTGTCAGCCTTGGTCCACCTGTAGTGAGGTCTGTCAGCCTTGTTCCACCTGTAGTGACATCTGTCTGTCTTGTTCCACCTGTAGTGACATCTGTTGGCCTTGTTCCACCTGTAGTGAGGTCTGTCAGCCTTGGTCCACCTGTAGTGAGTTCTGACTGCCTTGGTCCACCTGTAGTGACATCTGTTGGCCTTGGTCCACCTGTAATGAGGTCCGTGTTCCTTGGTCCACCTGTAGTGAGTTCTGACTGCCTTGGTCCACCTGTAGTGAGTTCTGACTGCCTTGGTCCACCTGTAGTGAGGTCCGTGTTCCTTGGTCCATCTGTAGTGAGGTCCGTCAGCCTTGGTCCACCTGTAGTGAGTTCTGACTGCCTTGGTCCACCTGTAGTGAGTTCTGACTGCCTTGGTCCACCTGTAGTGAGTTCTGACTTCCTTGGTCCACCTGTAGTGAGGTCTGACTTCCTTGGTCCACCTGTAGTGAGTTCTGACTGCCTTGGTCCACCTGTAGTGAGTTCTGACTGCCTTGGTCCACCTGAAGTGAGGTCTGACTTCCTTGGTCCACCTGTAGTGAGTTCTGACTGCCTTGGTCCACCTGTAGTGAGTTCTGACTGCCTTGGTCCACCTGTAGTGAGGTCTGACTGCCTTGGTCCACCTGTAGTGAGTTCTGACTGCCTTGGTCCACCTGTAGTGAGTTCTGACTGCCTTGGTCCACCTGAAGTGAGGTCTGCCTTCCTTGGTCCACCTGTTGTGAGGCCATTCACTGACGTGACTGATGCACTGCTGATGGGATGTAAGTTGTACCTCACTTCAGTCAGTTAAATATCACTTATGTTCTGATTTGCCGTAGGCAGGATCCATGTTTAGTTTCTTAGATTTGCAACGCCTGTACATTTTTTTTTAAGCACATTAGATTCTTGGTTCATCCTTGTCTAACATATAGCTAAATATGCAGATTGTTATTTGATTGTTTACTTGTTGCCAGGACGCTGGCTGTGCTTGGTGCCGGTCTGATGGGTGCTGGTGTTGCCCAAGTGAGCATCGACAAGGGCATGAAGGTAATCCTCAAGGACATGTCCTCCCAGGGGCTGGCTCGGGGACAAGACCAGGTACAGAAGGGCTTCGACACTCAGGCCAAGAAGAGGAAGATCACAACGTGGGTTTTCTGTGCAGTCATGTTTTAGGGGTGAAATGATACAGCAAGGTCAGGATACGAGACATATCTTGATACATTGCAATACACATATTTATGTAATCTCATGGGAATATCTTACTATGAATATTTCAGAGCAGATTCAAAAGAAAAAGCTAGGTGTAAAATACATGTTCATAGCAGCTATTTTTAGTTGAAACTTGAAACACTTATTACAACACATTTATTTTTGACTGACAAAAACGCAGCTGTCATTAAACGAGTTGTATTTTTGGAAGTGTATCCTCTTGTATCGATACAGAAAAAAACATATTGAATATTGTATCATCGTATGAAAACTCATGATGCATCTGTGCACCGATGTATCGTTTTACCCTGTTCATGTTGTAGGGGGGGATATGTTTGTGCTGACTGAGGACTATTGCTGTGGATCAGTGACACAACTGGTGGATGAGTTGTTGTGTCTGTTAATGTGCTTGGATTGGTGAAATCTAAGAATGTAGGATCCACGTAATCAAATCAATCTACTGTCAAACTGCAGATGGGTGACTCTGATCCCTTTTCCCACATAGGCAGACTTTAATGATTTTGAAATGGTAGGGTGTTTGAATACGAATTTGATATTCTGTGCAAGTTTTCACCTTCAACAGTGTGTACCCAAAACTTCAAAGTCTGGTCGCCTGAATGTGAGGCTCAGTAGATTTTGATCTGACCAAATGGAAAAGACCGCGTTCGGCAGAGTGATTCCTGAGAGTTTCTTGGGCTTCAGTCCTGCCCCACACTGAAGCACATGTAGCACTTTTAGTGTCTCCTGAGGCAAGTGACTTTGTTTGAAATGTGCCTCTGTTCACCCAGCAGTAAAAATGGATACCCGGTGGGATGAGATGGAACGTTAACCTTCTGGTGCCTGACAAGACTGCTTGGGTTGTATACTCACCAGGGTGTTGAGAATGAAAATCAAGTGCACACTGATCCAATGACCTCGGTAATGTTAGCGCTTTGAGCATGCACTGAGTGTATGGAGGCTAGCGCAATACATGTATAAGTACCCTACATTATTATACTCCAAACGTAAAGGGCAGGGGTATATAGTTATACCAAGGTATTCCATCCGTCCGCCCGTCTGTCCAGAGGACATTTTTTTGTGAGACCTATAACTTGAATACTGCTGCAAAAATTCTTTTTGAACTTGGTGGACACTTTCTATACCAACAGGAGAGGTGCAGTGCAAGGTTTGATTTCAATATTTGGATTTTCTGTAAAAATACAGATGTTTTTCGTTTTCTTAGAATATGTTTACTTCAACATTTGTGCGACCTATAACTTGACATTGATTCTTCTGAGATTTAAAGAACACTTCTATACTAAATAGAGAGGTGCAGTGCAAAGTTTGATTGTGATATGTGTATTTTCTATTTTCATGTTTTGAACTTAGAAATGGTTTTTGCTTCAACATTTGTGGGACCTATCACTTGAAAACACCTTCATGGAAACCAATTGGACATACAGTTTCTATACCAATATATAAGAGAGGTGCAGTTTAAAGTTGGATTTTGATAAGTGGATTTAATTATACCAGTTTACGAAGTAAATCGGGGGTATATTGCGTTCCGTCTGTCCGTCCGAGCTTTTGTACGCCCATAACTTTTTAACCATGCACCATAGCTTCACCAAACTTGCTACACACATTTACCACAATGAGTACTTCTGCCTTTTGCTAGTTTGGAGATTGTGAATTTTTTAATTTTTGCCGTTTCCATGGAAATATTAGGAACTTAATCTTTTAGGGTGGGTGTTTTGTACGGCCCATATCTTTTTAACCATGCACCCTAGCTTCACCAAACATGCTACACCCATTTACCACAATGAGTACTTGTGCCTTTTGCTAGTTTGAAGATTGTGAATTTTTTAATTTTTGCCGTTTCCATGGAATCATGGTGAAACATAAATTTTGGGTAGAGTTTTTGTACGATCCATGTTTACAATATTATGTATCCCAGCTTCAGCAAACTTGCTACATTAACCACTATTTTTTATCTCTATAAGATTCTGAAAGTTTTCTCTTTTGCTGTTTTCATGGAAACATGATGGAATTTCGAAATTTTGATGACTGGTTTTGTATAGCTCATGGGTTACAAAGGAAAGGGCAGTTCCTCTGACTTAAAGCAACAGGTATATTTCATTAATTAACAAACTATTTACTATTTGTTGTTGACCAGCGGAGATAACGGGGGATAAGTTTTTGTTTTTCATGTTATGAACTTATAACTATGTTGGAGTCTAGGCTGGGCTTGGGGTTATTTTATCAGATTCAGATAGTCTCATTAAACTTTGGGTTTAAGTTAAGCATGAAAATCTAGGGACTGAGGGTGTCAGTGTGTGTGTGTGAAACTATCTGCAGGCACACGTAAAGGCTATTTGTTTTGATTATTCCAGTTCTGAGAGAGATTTGATCATGTCTAATCTTGACCCAACCTTGACATATGAGAACTTCAAGAATTGTGACATGGTGATTGAAGCGGTGTTTGAAGACATTGGCATCAAACACAAAGTGGTCAAGGAAGTAGAGCAGGTGAGTGTGATGGGTCCGGATGAAGATGTCTCTCACCTGTTGAACACCTGGACACTCGGTAAACTCACATTTTAGTGCTTGCTCCAGCTACACAAACATCTGACAACATTCCTTTACAGGTCATGTCAGAACACCCTATCATGAACTTTGACAAACCAATGAAGTTCCCATCTTGGACTTTTTGCAAAGTAAACAGTTCTATATGACCATTATTTTTCAATAACCGTAGATATTGAAGATTGTCAATTGAATACGTGCCAAATTATTTAACACTAGTTGTAATGTTGAAGTGTGGTTATTGTTTCAGCACCTCCCTGAACACTGTATCTTTGCCTCCAACACCTCCGCCCTCCCCATCACCAAAATCGCAGAGGCCAGCTCCCGACCAGACAGGGTAAGATAAGTCCATAACAGTGTGTAGATGACGGTGTTACATAACAGTGTGTAGATGACGGTGTTACATAACAGTGTTTATGTTGTGAGGTATCATGTGATGAGATGAGTGGTGTTACTTGTTCCTTGTCTTTACAGTTCATTGGAATGCACTATTTCTCACCAGTGGACAAGATGCAGCTGCTGGAGATTATAACCACAGACAAGACGTCAAAGGATACCACAGGTATCAAAGACATATTCATGTGTGTCTCTTTGTGACTGAACATAGGTTCACTTTGCCCCAGTCAGCTGCGGCGCTCAGTTTCTCTGGAGTTGTGTTTCTTAGTCCTGCAAGTACCTTTCGCTCCCTGGTTCTAATCCCAGACTTGACCTGAATACGATCCCTGGTTCTAATCCCAGACTTGACCTGAATACGATCCCTGGTTCTAATCCCAGACTTGACCTGAATACGATCCCTGGTTCCAATCCTAGACTTGACCTGAATACGATCCCTGGTTCCATTCCCAGACTTGACCTGAATACGATCCCTGGTTCCATTCCCAGACTTGACCTGAATACGATCCCTGGTTCTAATCCCAGACTTGACCTGAATACGATCCCTGGTTCCAATCCCAGACTTGACCTGAATACGATCCCTGGTTCTAATCCCAGACTTGACCTGAATACGATCCCTGGTTCTAATCCCAGACTTGACCTGAATACGATCCCTGGTTCCAATCCCAGACTTGACCTGAATACGATCCCTGGTTCCAATCCCAGAGGGGGCACAGGTGGCCCAGTCGTCTAAGGCGCCGCGATTCGCTGTGCAGAGTTGCGTCCCCTGGGCATGCCAGAAACCTATGATTGTAGGTTCGAATCCTGGTTCGCCCTGATTATGTTTCTAGGTTTGTCAGCACCATACCCGTGCTCGTGGGTTTCACCGAAGTGGTAAACGTCTGAGACCTGCATCACTTCGGGCTCTCCTCCCACATTAAGCTGACACGCCGCGATATACCTGGAATACTGTTAAAAGCGGCGTTAAACCCAACTCACTCACTCACTCACTCCAATCCCAGACTTGACCTGAATATGATCCCTGGTTCCAATCCCAGACTTGACCTGAATATGATCCCTGGTTCCATTCCCAGACTTGACCTGAATACGATCCCTGGTTCCAATCCCAGACTTGACCTGAATACGATCCCTGGTTCCAATCCCAGACTTGACCTGAATATGATCCCTGGTTCCAATCCCAGACTTGACCTGAATACGATCCCTGGTTCCATTCCCAGACTTGACCTGAATACGATCCCTGGTTCCATTCCCAGACTTGACCTGAATACGATCCCTGGTTCTAATCCTAGACTTGACCTGAATACCATCCCTGGTTCCAATCCCAGACTTGACCTGAATACGATCCCTGGTTCCATTCCCAGACTTGACCTGAATACGATCCCTGGTTCCAATCCTCAGACTTAACCTGAATACGATCCCTGGTTCCCTTCCCAGACTTGACCTGAATATGATCCCTGGTTCCAATCCTCAGACTTAACCTGAATACAATCCCTGGTTCCATTCCCAGACTTGACCTGAATATGATCCCTGGTTCCAATCCCAGACTTGACCTGAATATGATCCCTGGTTCCAATCCCAGACTTGACCTGAATACGATCCCTGGTTCTAATCCCAGACTTGACCTGAATACGATCCCTGGTTCCAATCCCAGACTTGACCTGAATACGATCCCTGGTTCTAATCCCAGACTTGACCTGAATACGATCCCTGGTTCTAATCCCAGACTTGACCTGAATACGATCCCTGGTTCCAATCCCAGACTTGACCTGAATACGATCCCTGGTTCCAATCCCAGAGGGGGCACAGGTGGCCCAGTCGTCTAAGGCGCCGCGATTCGCTGTGCAGAGTTGCGTCCCCTGGGCATGCCAGAAACCTATGATTGTAGGTTCGAATCCTGGTTCGCCCTGATTATGTTTCTAGGTTTGTCAGCACCATACCCGTGCTCGTGGGTTTCACCGAAGTGGTAAACGTCTGAGACCTGCATCACTTCGGGCTCTCCTCCCACATTAAGCTGACACGCCGCGATATACCTGGAATACTGTTAAAAGCGGCGTTAAACCCAACTCACTCACTCACTCACTCCAATCCCAGACTTGACCTGAATATGATCCCTGGTTCCAATCCCAGACTTGACCTGAATATGATCCCTGGTTCCATTCCCAGACTTGACCTGAATACGATCCCTGGTTCCAATCCCAGACTTGACCTGAATACGATCCCTGGTTCCAATCCCAGACTTGACCTGAATATGATCCCTGGTTCCAATCCCAGACTTGACCTGAATACGATCCCTGGTTCCATTCCCAGACTTGACCTGAATACGATCCCTGGTTCCATTCCCAGACTTGACCTGAATACGATCCCTGGTTCTAATCCTAGACTTGACCTGAATACCATCCCTGGTTCCAATCCCAGACTTGACCTGAATACGATCCCTGGTTCCATTCCCAGACTTGACCTGAATACGATCCCTGGTTCCAATCCTCAGACTTAACCTGAATACGATCCCTGGTTCCCTTCCCAGACTTGACCTGAATATGATCCCTGGTTCCAATCCTCAGACTTAACCTGAATACAATCCCTGGTTCCATTCCCAGACTTGACCTGAATATGATCCCTGGTTCCAATCCCAGACTTGACCTGAATATGATCCCTGGTTCCAATCCCAGACTTGACCTGAATATGATCCCTGGTTTCAATCCCAGACTTAACCTGAATACGATCCCTGGTTCCAATCCCAGACTTGACCTGAATATGATCCCTGGTTCCAATCCTCAGACTTAACCTGAATACGATCCCTGGTTCCATTCCCAGACTTGACCTGAATATGATCCCTGGTTTCAATCCCAGACTTAACCTGAATACGATCCCTGGTTCCAATCCCAGACTTGACCTGAATACGATCCCTTGTTCCATTCCCAGACTTGACCTGAATATGATCCTTGGTTTGTCAGCACCATCATACCCATGCTTGTGGGTTTCAAAGTAAATGTCTTAGATTCGCATCCATTTAGAAGTTGACTTCCTGTTGAAATTGGAAGGGTACTATAAACATTGTTGACATATTTGAAAAGTGTGTTCGATTCACATAAAAATTGACTGTTAAAATATTTCCATGCACCAAGTTATGCTTGAAAAACTGAAGAGGCAACTTTAAAACTGTGTAGATTACAGACGTTTGCGCTTTGGTTTTTCGATTCATAGATACAGTCAATCTTCATAACTAATGAAGGCAACAACACAAAATATAATTAAACAAATGTAATGTCTTCACATGTTATGCAAACACGAAGAACAGAGTGAAGAGCACCTATTGTTTATGTAGCAGGGCAGTGAATGACTGATAAGCAAACACACGCTACGGGTGAGAGACGTTTATTCAGCCAATGGATTTGTATAGTATCTATCTAGTATCTACACCCTGAAACATATTAAAGGAATGATAAGTAATATTAACAATATACATAATGCAGTCATCGACATCAAAGTATTACAAACCGTTTTACATTACAAACACATCTTATTTATATATTAGTTGTTACACTGTACAATGATCTGCTAACTGATGTAAGAACCAAGTAGAATAATTATTCATATATTATATTATCTAAGTGTAAAGCGATTATAAATCTCTTTAAAAATACATACATATACATGACTTTACGGGTGTGACACACTTCTGTGTTTACACTTGTCAACTCTTCTGTGCAGGAAATGTGTGCGGACTGAGAACATGCAGTGAGACAAAGGGTCAACTTTGAGGGTTAGCTTGGTGAATCAGTTGAGCACGTCATGGCTTGGGTTTGTTCAGGCTTACAACATGAAGGACACATTAACTACATTTAATCTATCTTAACTAATGATTAAACATAAAAGTTGAACACTTAAAAGCAGACACTGAAGGTGAATAAAATAAATATGTACAATGTTGTATCTGTCACATTTACATCAATCAATCAATGACTGTCAACATGGAAAAAATACATCGCTCCAAAACAATCAGAGGGCAGAAGCCAGTATACCAGTTTGTTCTTTGCAAGCTTGTCACCAGTTTAGTTATTGCTGAGGCCACTTGAACCTGTAAATTGGAAAACACAACTTGTGAACGAAGACTTGGATATGATTTCAGATGACATGAAATTTGTAGAATTCAGCTATGTCCCTGAAGGAAAAACAGATTGACTGAGCCGGTTGCATATTATAAAATGTGATGTGAGAGCAGGTCCTCACTGCAAGGCATGTGGGATGGCAAGTCCAGATGTTGTTTAACTGAATTTTGATTTTTGAGCTGTGGAACTCCTAATCAAACTTTAATTTTTGTGGTCAATTATGAACATGTGTCTCATCTCAAAACCTGCATCCTTAATTGACTGAATACTTGTCTGTATGTCGTGGAATTTTGTTTATTGTCTACATATTCAAACAGGGTGGTCAGATAGCATAGTGGTTTAAGCGTTCGCTCGTCGCTCCAAAGACCCGGGTTCGAATCCCAATACTGGTACAATATGTGAAGCCCAATTCTGGTGTCCCCCTGCCGTGATATTGCTGGAAAATTGCTAAAAACGCCATAAAACCAAACTCACTCACTCACATATCCAAACACCCTTAAGAAAGTCATAACCTGAAAAAATAGTTTTGAAATATGTGGATGACTTTTGCTCCAGTTTTTGTTTCTCTGTCTGTTGTTTAACGGCGCTGTTGTGGCCCAGTCGTCTAAGGAGCCGCGATTCGCTGTGCAGAGTTGCGTCCCTTGGACACGCCAGAAACCTATGATTGTGGGTTCGAATCCCGGTTCGCCCCGATTATGTTTCTAGGTTTGTCAGCACCATACCCGTGCTCGTGGGTTTCACCGAAGTGGTAAACGTCTAAGACCTGCATCACTTCGGGCTTTCCTCCCACATTAAGCTGACACGCCGCGATATAACTGGAATACTGTTAAAAGCGGCGTTAAACCCAACTCACTCATTCACTCACTGGACCAGACAATCCAGCGATTGATATCATGAACATCAATCCACGGAATTGGGATACGATGACATGCATCAACCAAGTCAGCGAGCCTGACCCCCTGATTCCGTTAGTCGCCTCTTTCGACAAGCATAGTCGCCCTTGACAGGAAGCATGAGTTGCTGAAGACCTATTCTACCTGGGATCTTCACATGTCTTTAGTTCCAGTAACAGAAGGAAGTAGCCACATGCAAACAGCTCGTTGAGGACAGAATCCTTCTGAGGGTTCTCATGACTATGTAGCTATATTTAGATGGCTGGAAGGCGTTCAGTGGGCTTGGCCTACTTTTCGTTTCAATTCATTGAGTGATATAGCCACATATCCTGTAAACTTCACGCTACAAAATTATTATGTTGTGCTTGGATATTAGCATATGTTAATTGTTTTAGACAGTATGCACACTGTATTTTATGTATATAACTACATATTATTATAAAGCGTAAAAACATTGACATCAATTCATATAAATAAGTCAACAATAATAACTTCAAGGAGTGCTTATTTAATCATTAACACACATAAGAATGTAGACAACAGTGACTTCATTCAGCACATTAATGCCCTGCCAATTCTATTATCAGCCAATCAGGAAACAGTATGTCCTTTGATGTGGCCAAAGTTTTTGACTTGCAATTTATGTGACGTTTTGTGTTTCAGCCTCTGCTGTGAAGGTCGGCCTGAGACAGGGGAAGGTGGTGATCACGGTCAAAGACGGGCCTGGGTTCTACACAACCAGAATACTGGCACCCATGTTGTCCGAGGCAATCAGGCTGTTGCAGGTACACCATTTCCTTAGACATTATTGATATCCTTATATTCACGGTAAGATAGATCCCAGCATTTCCTCAACTCCTAGGGTATAACCAGTGGGCCAAGGAACCCTTGTTGGCGGGGGATGGAATGAAGGTTCATACTGAGGTTGGAACAAGTTAGATGGTTTATTATCACTACTGGCAGGCTCCATTTTTGTTGAGTTTCGAGGTCAGGTCATTCTCAAATCTTGTAGTCGGTCATGTTTGTAGTGACCTAGTAGGACAGGGCAGTGGTGAATTCCTGTATTTTGTTAAAATGTTGTAAAACATACTTTGACAACATCCGAAACTGAATGTTTACCTGGAAACTATTCACCCGAAGAAACTTCTGTGTTTGAAATGGTTGTGGTTTGTTGTGTTTCCAGGAAGGTGTTAGTCCAACAGACCTTGACAGACTCACTAAAAAGTTTGGTTTCCCTGTGGGAGCTGCAACACTTGCAGATGAAGTGGGTGTTGATGTCGCTGCCCATGTAGCAGAAGATCTAGGGAAGGCTTTTGGAGAGAGATTTGGAGGAGGAAGCCCCGAGGTGCTGAAGGACATGGTTGCGAGTGGCTTCCTGGGTACGTGTATTGGTGCAACTCAACTCCATCGCATGCTCACCATAAAGAAGTTAACGTTTCACACACCTCCATTAATTATTTGCAAGTATTAACACTTTTGAAGATTTGCAAGTGGATGGGAGTTTGATGTCCAGTGAAATCTACATATTTAACCCACTTTGGATATCTTTGTTTCCCAGGCCGTAAGAGTGGAAAGGGCTGCTATGTGTATGAGAAGGGGAGCAAGGAAAGACCAGAAAATGAAGAAGCAAAGAAGATCGTTCAGAAGTACCATCTTGAACCTAAACTAGTGTAGGTGAACATTGATGTCCCTGGTTGTAGTCTGTGTGTCCCAGTGGTGTGTGGGGCTTGACTCAGTTGCCATGACACCCTGGCTGTAGTCTGTGTGTCCCAGTGGTATGTGGGGCTTGACTCAGTTGCCATGACACCCTGGTTGTAGTCTGTGTGTCCCAGTGGTGTGTGGGGCTTGACTCAGTTGCCATGACACCCTGGTTGTAGTCTGTGGGGTCCGGTGGTGTGTGGGTCTTGACTCAGTTGCCATGACACCCTGGCTGTAGTCTGTGTGTCCCAGTGGTGTGTGGGTCTTCACTCTGTTGCCATGACGCCCTGGTTGTAGTCTGTAGGGTCCCAGTGGTGTGTGGGGCTTGACTCAGTTGCCATGACACCCTGGTTGTAGTCTGTAGGGTCCCAGTGGTACGTGGGGCTTGACTCAGTTGCCATGACACCCTGGTTGTAGTCTGTGGGGTCCGGTGGTGTGTGGGTCTTGATTCAGTTGCCATGACACCCTGGTTGTAGTCTGTAGGGTCCCAGTGGTGTGTGGGGCTTGACTCAGTTGCCATGACACCCTGGTTGTAGTCTGTGTGTCCCAGTGGTGTGTGGGTCTTCACTCTGTTGCCATGACACCCTGGTTGTATTCTGTGTGTCCCACTGGTGTGTGGGGCTTGACTCAGTTGCCATGACACCCTGGTTGTAGTCTGTGGGGTCCGGTGGTGTGTGGCTCTTCACTCTGTTGCCATGGCACCCTGGTTGTAGTCTGTGTGTCCCAGTGGTGTGTGGCTCTTCACTCTGTTGCCATGACACCCTGGTTGTAGTCTGTGTGTCCCAGTGGTGTGTGGGTCTTCACTCTGTTGCCATGACACCCTGGTTGTAGTCTGTGTGTCCCAGTGGTGTGTGGGGCTTGACTCAGTTGCCATGACACCCTGACTAGTCTGTGTGCCCAAGTGGTGTGTGCATCTTCACTCTGTTGCCATGACGCCCTGGTTGTACAACTTGTAGTCTGTGGGGTCTGGTGGTGTGTAGGGCTTGACTCAGTTGCCATGATACCCTGGCTGTAGTCTGTGGTATGCCAAGGATGCCATGACATCCTTGAAGGAGGTTCAGATTGGATATGTGTCTTGACCTGACCTTAAATCTCTCTCACCTGTAAAGTTATTCATTATGTGAGAAGAATACTGGTGTTTGTCAGAAGGTTGGTGGTGAACGTCTCCCATGTTAACTGGAGCACGTTCCCACATTTCCCCAAGTATACATAATGCCTGGTTGCCTTAAGGCCTTAAAAAGTCCATCACGTCAATAGAAAGATATACTGTTGTTTCTATTTTCAGGAACACAGATGAAGATGTGCAGCTCCGGCTTGTGTCCAGATTTGTCAACGAGGCAGTGATGTGTCTCGAAGAAGGAATTCTAAGAAATCCTGTGAGTTCATTGATATCATAAGCTGTTACAATGATTCTTCCAGAATGTACCATCAAGCTATGTTGATACTAGTAGTGATAGTAGTAGATAGTCCTGGTAGTAGTAGATATCAGTAGTAGTAGATAGTCATAGTAGTGGATGAATCGATATCAAAACGTGCACATATTCTTGTCCCCAAGCAATACAATCTTGAAGATTACATACTGCCCCAAACTTTCTTTTGTGTCTGTCTCTACATCTGTACATAACATTGATGTACATATGCAGTTATCATTTTTTCGTTTTGTTTATTAACTTTGCTTGTCCCTCACTCTTAAACGATGACTTAAAGTTAAAGTGATAGAAGTTCTACCAAAACAAGTAATTTCTAAGACACTTAATGTTAAACTAAGTCTGAAATTGATGATGCAAGTATGTTTCACAGGGGATGTCTTCTGACATTTTCCTATTAAAGTAAATATCCCAGTCCCTGAATGTGATGTGACTCCAGTAATAGTCCAGTTAAAATGGCAAAAACTAACTGGTCCCCTGAGCTACTGGAATCAACTACCTGTCAGGTCTGGAAGATTCGTCCTTGCAGTGAGCTAGTCACTGTGTGATGCTATTCTTACTTACACTTAAAGCAATATAACTAATTTTCTGTTGAGTATACATGAGGTATAGTTTGAATATGTCTTTCCTGTAACGGCTGGAATGAGATTGCATGATAGATATTTTGTTCAAATGCTTTTAGAGCAAACATGCGATGGTGGACTGATGATTGAACTGAAAGCAGTTTTCTTTGAGAGAGCATTCATTTAGCAGAAAGTGTAATTTAAAAAAAAATGCCTTCTGGGACTAGTTACTCACGTAATGGGTCAAAGAAGATTTGAGTCAATAAAAGCCACTCCTGTAACAGAAAAGTGTACAGGCCTTGGCAAGTAGTAGTTGTAGACAGTAATAGTAGTAGTAGACAGTGGTAGAAGTAGTAGTAGACAATGGTAGTAGCAGTAGTAGTAGTTGACAGTGATAGTAGTAGTAGTAGTAGTAGTAGTAGTAGTAGACAGTGGTAGTAGTAGTAGTAGTAGTAGACAGTGGGAGTAGTAGTAGTAGACAGTGGGAGTAGTAGTAGTAGTAGACAGTGGTAGTAGTAGTAGACAGTGGTAGTAGTAGACAGTGATAGTAGTAGTAGTAGACAGTGATAGCAGTAATAGACAGTGGTAGTAGTAGTAGTAGTTGACAGAGGTAGTAGTAGTAGTAGTAGTAATAGTTGACAGTGATAGTAGTAGGAGTAGACAGTGAAAGTAGTAGTAGTAGATGACAGTGATAGTAGTAGGAGTAGTAGTAGACAGTGATAGTAGTAGTAGTAGTAGACAGTGATAGTTGAAGTAGACAGTGAAAGTGGTAGTAGTAGTAGACAGTGAAAGTAGTAGTAGAAAACAGTGATAGTAGTAGTAGACAGTGATAGTAGTAGTAGACAGTGATAGTAGTAGTAGTAGACAGTGATAGTAGAAGTAGGCAGTGGTAGTCGTAGTAGTAGACGGGGGCACGGGTGGCCAAGTCGTCTAAGGCGCCGCGGTTCGCTGTGCAGAGTTGCGTCCCTTGGACACGCCAGAAACCTATGATTGTGGGTTCGAATCCCGGTTCGCCCCAATTATGTTTCTCGGTTTGTCAGCACCATACCCGTGCTCGTGGGTTTCACCAAAGTGGTAAACGTCTAAGACCTGCATCACTTCGGGCTTTCCTCCCACATCAAGCTGACACGCCGCGATATAACTGAAATACTGTTAAAAGCGGCGTTAAACCCAACTCACTCACTCACTCACGTAGTAGTAGACAGTGGTAGAAATAGCAGTAGTAGTAGACAGTGATAGTAGTAGACAGTAGTAGTAGTAGTAGAGAGTGATAGTTGAAGTAGACAGTGATAGTGGTAGCAGTAGTAGTAGACAGTGAAAGTAGTAGTAGAAAACAGTGATAGTAGTAGTAGACAGTGATAGTAGAAATAGACAGTGGTAGTAGTAGTAGTAGGCAGTGGTAGTAGTAGACAGTGATAGTAGTAGTATTAGACAGTGATAGTAGTAGTAGTAGACAGTTATAGTAGAAGTAGACAGTTATAGTAGAAGTAGAGAGAGATAGTGGTAGTAGTAGTAGACAGTGAAACTAGTAGTAGAAAACAGTGATAGTAGTAGTAGACAGTTATAGTAGTAGTAGTAGACCGTGGTAGTAGTAGTAGTAGACAGTGGTAGTAGTATTGGTAGACAGTGGTAGTAGCAGTAGTAGTAGTAGACAGTAGTAGTAGTAGACAGTGGTAGTAGTAGTAGTAGACAGTGGTAGTAGCAGGAGTAGTAGAACTAGTAGTTGACAGTGGTAGTGGTAGTAGTAGTAGTAGTAGTAGTAGTAGTAGACAGTGGTAGTAGCAGTAGTAGTAGAAGTAGTAGTTGACAGTGGTAGTAGTAGTAGTAGACAGTGATAGTAGTAGACAGTGATAGTAGTAGTAGTAGACAGTGATAGTAGAGGTAGTAGTAGTAGACAGTGATATTAGAGGTAGACAGTGATAGTGGTAGTAGTAGTAGTAGACAGTGAAAGTAGTAGTAGAAAACAGTGATAGTAGTAGTAGACAGTGTTATTATTATTAGTAGTAGACAGTGATAGTAGTAGTTGTAGACAGTGATAGTAGTATTTGTAGTAGTAGACAGTGATAGTAGTAGTAGACAGTGATAGATGGTAGTACAATGGGTAATATAGCATTAGTATCTCTGCATACAGAAGACAGTTACCGAGTAAAGAAATGACTATAACAGTTCCTGTGGTGGCTCGTGCAGATATTAGGATGCCCCTGCAGGGTTAGAAACTAACAGTGTTCGCCCACTAGTCGTTATAATGATAACATATAGCAAACCCTTAAAAAGGGCAAATTTCTACTAGTCCTTATGATACCTTTACCATTGGGCAGTTGGCAAAGACTATAGGACTAGTGCCAATTTCTAACACTGCCCCTGTTGTGTCCTATGGTTTGATGATGTGAATAATTGTATGTACTTACAGCTGGAAGGAGACATTGGTGCTGTGTTTGGTCTTGGGTTTCCTCCATTCCTTGGCGGTGAGTGTTTTTCTTATGGTTGTGCTCATGTCTCTGGCAGCAGTGCAAGCACAGGGGCCCAGTTGTGCTATAAGTCGCTGTGCAGAGTATGAATCCCTGATTGGTTATGTTCCTTGGTTTTCTCCTGCCTACACCCCGTGATGGATACACTTCCTCAGCAACCAAATTGGCAGCTCAGTCATAAGTGTATTATGCATATATACATCCAAATACATTTGTTTCAAATGAAATATCTGATACTTATTGTGAACATGAAAAGTGATAAGTGACTGTTTCACCCATACAATTCATCACATTGTGTCATGAACTCTGTGGGGCTGTTGGGTAGGCTAGTGGTTAAAGTGTTCGCCCATCACGCCGAAGACTCGGGTTTCGATTCCCGACATGGGTACAATGTGTTGGCCCATTTGTGGTGTCCCCCGCCGTTATATTGCTGGAATACTGCTAAATGTGGCGTAAAACCATACTCACTCACTCACTTGAACTGTGTAATGAGGAAGTGTTACTATGGTGATGTTGTAGGCCCCTTCCGCTACATGGACCTGCATGGAGCCAAGCCCCTGGTGGACCGCATGCTCAAGTACAGAGACTTGTATGGAGTCCAGTTCCAGCCCTGCCAGTTGCTCCTGGACCATGCTAACGATCCATCCAAGAAGTTCCACTCTTGAACATACGAACAAAATGGACATTAAGATTATGTTTTAGACTGTGATGTCATCCATGACATAAGCGGTTGCCTCCCTCGTGGAGTAGTGTCAGATTTTTTCATCATGTGCTATGCAGGTTGAGTGAGTCATGTACATGTTTCATGCACACAAAGTGCTACATCTATTGTACATATTATTGTATGAATGAATATTGAAGTTTTCCAATAAAACTAATATGCCTTGTGTAACAGTATATGTGTTTTTTTGGTCTGTATATGCACAAGAAAATGTTATTGCGAAGAGTTACAGTATTATTAAAGGTATTTTTATACCCACAACCTGACAGAACATCCAGTGAGCATATGATGTGGTCTGTTTGTCCAAAGGCCATCATGCTTTTTAAAGGGGAAGTGTACACGCAAAAATCACTTTCTTTCTTTTTCTAAACAAAACGCAATTTTAGAATTAATTAGTATCTGTGTTTGAAAATATACACTCAATGTTTTCACAGTGAACGTAGGAAGCTCACAATAGTGTGAAAATGATATGCCGTTATGAGGCCTTCGTTTTTCGAGCTAAACAGGCCTGAGTTATCCCCCTTAGATTATGACGTAATTGGTGCCAATTCAACTGGGTCCCTGTCTATTCTCAACGCAAAAGATATCAAGTACCAGTTTGCGGTAAAACAACATGGCCTACGACACACTCCGGCGCAGTGGTGACTCAGCATAACACTATGCTGGCTGGCATCTGAGACACTAGAATCACACACCTGGACCTACACCATGTGAAGCGGCTCCAAATAAGCATGATGAGGTCATAATGATTATCAATTGGCACCAATGACGTCATATTGCAAGGGGCATAAGCCATGGTGTTTTTGTTGTGGAAATAGAACACTTGGTAAATGTGAAAAATATAAATCGTTTAATGCGAAAAATATGTTAATTAATTGTGATATTTTTATATTTTTGTCTATGACACTTCTATGTTAACACTTTTAATGTGGAAAAAGTACAAGAAAAATAGGTTCATTTCCGTGTGAACTTGCCCTTTAAGTCATAAACATCTTCTCAGAAACTGCTAAACCAAAGAAGCTGTAACTTCACATGCTTGTTCCCACCATGACACCCAGATAGGTTCAGGATGTCCAAACTCGATGTTTAAAGTAGTCAGTGCCACTTCTGCCATTTTGAAAATGCAATGTATGGCCTTTCATCTGTTCACTGTCTGTCTCAAACACTTTTTAATATTTTGAATTTGAGTTAACCATAGTCTTTAATAATCTTAATTACCAGCATGAAGGAGCTGAACTTTGACATGTATGCTTCTCCTTGTGATGAGGTTATATTGTTTAGGAATTATTCGACTGTAGCATCAGCATTTAGTCCTATGCAGAATATCAATGCTGACAGCAACCCTTTTTTAGGGTGTCTGACTTTTCAAAAGCAGAGGTTTTGAGAAATTAGGCTAAATCAATTAATACTAAAATGCACACATAGTGTGAAGATATGAAAGTTTGAAGATGAAAGCATTGGCTCATCACATCACCCAGGTTGATCCAGACCACGGAGACAACCTACTTCTTGTCTCCTGGAACATTGTTTAAATTAGTATAAAAAAGTATGAACTCACAAACAAAAATGGATGTAATTTCCCAATGTGCGATGGATTGAAGCTACCTTTAATCTATTTGTCAGCAAATGCTTTTTCAACTCTTCAAGAACATAAATCCATACAGTCAATACCATGTTTACACAACTTGTTTACAAGATGAAATATTTTTCAAAAGCATGTGTTAATGTGCAAATGCACTGTAGTGAACACAAGTTTACATGAATTTGAAATCTGATATTTCTGATCAAAACTCTTTTTGAATATGCAACATTTTCATATCCTAGAATAACGGTTTCTAAAATATGCAGTTTTATTACAATAATTACCATCAATATTTCATAAGTAGATGAACTATCATGACCCCATCCAGATTTGGTATTGGTGAGTGTTGGGGTGGCAGCTGCCTTGTCCAGCTTGTCCAGCCAAGTTGAAGGGGCGGGACAGGAAGGAGAGTTGGAGTGGTGTCTACATTTGGGATCCCTTGCCACATTCCTTAAGGTCAAAGTACTAAGTACCCATCTTGGCCATTAGACCCGGTCATGACCATCATAAAAGATGGAAAGCGAAGGGTTATGCAAAGCCTGCTCCCATCTCTACTAGCCACGTTTCTGCAGTGTATGGGATTTAGCAATAACTACTGGCATGATTGAGGAGAGGAAGTGAAAGACTGCATACAATCACTGACCAGGTTAAAGTTCACGCCATGAATGTGTGATTTGGCTTTTCCAGTTTGTTCGGAACGCGCCTACATTTGTACCCCAGTTTATACTGTGCAAGAAGCAAGTATTGTATCCTTTACATGACATTATTATGGTTGTCCGGGGCTGAAAAAGACACAATTGTGTTTCACCTTTTCCCTGAGTCTCGCTGATGCCTGGAAGTAAATCCCGAAAAATAGTTGAATATGTAGATAGGATAAGATATAATATGAAATGAATATGTGGGAACAATGTTTGGTTACAGACCACAGACAGCTGACTAGTGCTAGCCTATCTCAGGAAAACTAATGTGGAGAGTATAAGACTATAAAATTCTTTAAATGATGCAGCCTTGCCATCATCAACGTCAGTAGTAAAGACAAAGTCAACTACACATTTATGGCATACAATGGTACTGACAATGCAATAACTACAGGTCATAGGTTAGATGAAAAGGTAAACTCATTCACTGCATGAAGAATGATGCTGTATTCCTGGGCAAAATAAACCCTGCTTCTTGTTGAAAAAATCCTTGGAAATGTTCTTTATTCCTAGACCAAGGAAACCCTTCTTCCTGTTGAATGAGTGAGCCAGTGAGTTGGGTTTAACAGTATTGCAGTTATTTCAAGGTGTGTCAGCTTAATGTGGGAGGAAAGCAAGAAGTGATGCAGGTCTCGGACGTTTACTACTTAGGTGAAACCCACGAGCATGAGTATGTTGCTGACAAACATAGAAACATATTTGGGGCGAACCGATTGAAACCCACAGTCATAGGTTTCTGGCGTGCCCAAGGGATGCAACTCTGCACAGCGGATTGTGGCGCCTTAGACGACTGGGCCACCCGTGCCCTCTCTTCCTGTTTAACAAGACCTTCTAAATGTTCCTTATTCCTAGACCAAGGAAACCCTTCTTCCTTTTGAACTAGTCCTTCTAAATGTTCCTTATTCCTAGACCAAGGAAACCCTTCTTCCTGTTGTACTAGTCCTTCTACATATTCCTTATTCCTAGACCAAGGAAACACTTATTCCTGTTGTACTAGTCCTTCTACATATTCCTTATTCCTAGACCAAGGAAACACTTCTTCCTGTTGTACTAGTCCTTCTACATATTCCTTATTCCTAGACCAAGGAAACACTTCTTCCTGTTGTACTAGTCCTACATATTCCTTATTCCTAGACCAAGGAAACACTTCTTCCTGTTGTACTAGTCCTTCTACATATTCCTTATTCCTAGACCAGGGAAACCCTTCTTCCTTTTGAACTAGTCCTTCTAAATGTTCATTATTCCTAGACCAAGGAAACACTTCTTCCTGTTGTACTAGTCCTTCTGAATGTTCCTTATTCCTAAACCAAGAAAACCCTTCTTCCTTTTGAACTAGTCCTTCTAAATGTTCATTGAAATTCTTGTTGAACTAGTGTCCTTTTGACTATTCCTTCTCCCTATCCTCCTTCCTTAATTCTGACAAGAAACAGGTGGATAGACATAGGCTAGGTTCAGAACATTATCTGACAGTGGATAGACATAGGCTAGGTTCCAAACATTATCTGACAGTGGATCGACATAGGCTAGGTTCCAAACACTATCTGACAGTGAATCGACATAGGCCAGGTTCCAAACACTATCTGACATCGACATAGGCTAGGTTCCCAACACTATCTGACAGTGGGTCGACATAGGCTAGGTTCCCAACACTATCTGACAGTTGATAGACATAGGCTAGGTTCCCAACACTATCTGACAGTGGATCGACATAGGCTAGGTTCCCAACACAATCTGACAGTTGACGACATTGGCTAGGTTCCCAACACTATCTCTGTTGGTCGACGTAGGCTAGGTTCCCAACACTATCTGACAGTGGATCGACATAGGCTAGGTTCCCAACACTATCTGACAGTGGATCGACATAGGCTAGGTTCCCAACACTATCTGACAGTGGATCGACATAGGCTACGTTCCCAACACTATCTGACAGTGGATCGACATAGGCTAGGTTCCCAACACTATCTGACAGTGGGTCGACATAGGCTAGGTTCCCAACACTATCTCTGTGGATCGACATAGGCTAGGTTCCCAACACTTTCTGACATTTGATTGACATTGGCTAGGTTCCTAACACTATCTCTGTTGGTCGACGTAGGCTAGGTTCCCAACACTATCTGACAGTTGATCGACATAGGCTAGGTTCCTAACACTATCTGACAGTTGATCGACATAGGCTAGGTTCCCAACACTATCTGACAGTGGATCGACATAGGCTAGGTTCCCCAACACTATCTGACAGTGGATCGACATCGGCTAGGTTCCCAACACTATCTCTGTGGGTGGACATAGGCTAGGTTCCCAACACTATCTGACAGGTGGGTCGACATAGGCTAGGTTCCCAACACTATCTGACTGTTGATTGACATAGGCTAGGTTCCCAACACTTTCTGACAGTTGATCGACATAGGCTAGGTTCCCAACACTATCTGACAGTGGATCGACATAGGCTACGTTCCCAACACTATCTCTGTGGGTCGACATAGGCTACGTTCCTAAAACTATCTCTGTGGATCGACATAGGCTAGGTTCCCAACACTATCTGACAGTGGATCGACATAGGCTACGTTCCCAAAACTATCTCTGTGGGTCGACATAGGCTAGGTTCCCAACACTATCTGACAGTTGATCGACATAGGCTACGTTCCCAACACTATCTGACAGTGGGTCGACATAGGCTACGTTCCCAACACTATCTCTGTGGATCGACATAGGCTAGGTTCCCAACACTATCTGACAGTGGATCGACATAGGCTACGTTCCCAACACTATCTGACAGTGCGTCAACATAGGCTAGGTTCCCAACACTATCTCTGTGGATCGACGTAGGCTAGGTTCCCAACACTATCTGACAGTGGATCGACATAGGCTAGGTTCCGAACACTACCTGACAGTGGAT